TTAGAGTGAGCTATGACTTTTATCTTAATATAGGGGAAGTATGAGCTCCAAAGCTCAATCAAATATTAGGTCAATCATAATTTAATTTATAAAAGGGATGTTATATTCACGTGTATACAAAATGGTCTCCAAAATGTAATATAATATTACAATTACAGCCACATATTCTCATTAATCATCTTAATCACTAAAAAGCAATACAAATTTTTTCAAAAAAAAAAAATCAATCTTTTCATTTATCATTGTACTATAAAAAAGTAGATCGAGAAAAAAGTATGTGAAGACAATAAAATCTTTTAATCGATAACTCATGTTATAAAACTCGTAAAACAGTAAAAGTATACATAGAACAAAGTTTACCATTAAGAAAATACTACTTGTAACTTAGTGGTAGGGATAGCAATATTACATGGATATCCGCTAATCCGATCCACTCGGTTAAAATAAATAGACGAAAACCTGAAATAAATGGATGAAAAGCGGGTGACAAATGAGGTGGATGATGGATCGGATCAGATATGAATGATGATTTTTTCACCCGCTAACCATCCATCCACCCGTTTAACATATATAAAGATTTTTAATCTAAGAATTTTAATTAAAAACATTTAAAATATACAATAAAAATACTTTATTTGTAGCAAATTAATTTTTTCAAAGAATATGTAGTTTGTGCATCCTTTTTATTTAAAAAATAATAATAACTTATGGTAGAAATAATCATAAATTAAATTTTACGTGAATTTTTTTTCCTATAATGTTCATCCATTAGTCACCCAATTCACCCGTTTCACCCTCGGATGATGGGTGAAGCAGGTGATGGATGGATGTGGATGAAGCGATTGAAATGATGGATGGATGCGGGTGAAGCTCCACCCGATCCAAATCTAATCTATTGTCATCTCTACTTAGTGGCGCTCGCCCCTAATTACAGGGTATATTACTGGTAAATTGGTAATATACTATACAAATATAAAACTAGCGTTACAAATGTAAAACACGCCCATTATTGAGAGATATGCTTTCCTATATATTTTTATTTTGGGTGCAAAAAATGCTTTCCTATATCACTATATGAATGTTAGACAAAATCGCACCTTGTATATATCACACATGAATGACATGATACTAATAATGTACTCTATAATAAATTACTCCGTAGTAATGTTCTCCTATAAATATTAGGAGTTGAAGAGAATAATATATCTTATGTATGATGAACATAGTATACTTTGATTCATGTGGATTTATACAATCCTTTGTAAATCAAGTTAATATATATGCTTTATGTTTTCTTTCCTTTCTATTTAATCATAGTATGTAGTATTGATTTTTATATTTATGTTGTCTTTGAGGGCGAGTCCGGATTTCTCATCTTGAGAAACATATAATGTTTTTCTAATGGCAAGGATTGTAAATAAAGACAACTTTATTAATATTTTATTATTTTTTGGTTGATGACTCACCTCTCTACCTCCTTCCTTTCTTCCCCTCCCCCCCTTCCATTCTTTCTCATCCTTCCTTCTATTATTGTCTTTCACAACATAACAATGGTGGAATCTTTACCAAGATCTCAGACAACAACCCAACGCCATGGCGGAATCCACCATTTCGGCGGGAATGGCGGCTTTGCCGCCGAATTCTATGAAAAACCTAAGGAAAAGGTTGAGAAATTAAGGGCATTGTTAACCCTAAAGGGTAAGTGTTTTTCGTTTTCTTGTGAGCTTTTCCTCCTCCATTGAAATTGCACATACTACATTAAGAAATTGAAATATGATGATTCTCGATTGACACTTGTGTAATTGAATTTCGATAACTTATAGAATTTCCATCAAAAAATTCGATAAAAAACATTGAAATTGATTTTCGATCAAAATAATTACTAGTATAATCATCTTAACTCAGAAGTTCGTTGCTTCCATGGTGGGGAGAGAAAACAGTAGCTACTTGCCTGCTTCAATGGAGTACTGAATTCTGAATTGTGAAAAAGAAAGAAAAATTGAAAATTACATATTTGTCCTTATTTTATTAGTCAAAAAGACAATTTAGCCCCATGAGATACATTCCATGTTTATCAAGAAGAGAAACATGGAATTACCCGTCTTTTGATCTTATTTCATGATGATATTAGGACATGACTAATGTCATGGGACAACTTAGATCTTAGACGTCGCATATGGTTTATTTACTAATTAATTTTCACATATTACGTAAAGCAATGTCAACATGAATTAAAAAAATAAAAAAAAATTAGTCTTCTTTGAAAAGAATTACTTCGTATGTCATTTGCGATAAATCAAAGGTGGATTTATAAACTCACATAAGCTTATGAGCATAGAGATGTTTCATGCATGTTTGTTTATCACCCTTTTCTATAATTTTCAAAAAATTAAAAAAAAAAAAAAAAAAAAAAAAAAAAAAAAAAAAAAAAAAAAAAAACCTTTACTAATCTCCTCTCTTCCCAAATTTCTTTTAAAATTCTCATAATACAAATCCAAACTAACACTTTTAACTTTTTAAATTTCAATTCCCCATCTGAATCCTTCATTCTCTAGCCATCAACTTTTGCCTCGATTGAACTTCCATGATTAATATGCTTGTCATCATTCTCCTTGACCTCTTCGGCTTGTTTATTTGCTTGGAGAAATAGTTGAAAGTATTTAGGATTCGCTTCCATACACTTGACAATTTTTATTACGAACCTCATTGCACTTGTCATAGTTGTTTTCTACGCCGCAATGTTCTTCAAGTTGTATGAATTCATCCCTGCACCCACCAGCCTCCATGTACAAGGACATCCAACAAGGCACACACTCTTCTTTTTCTTGTTTATCCTCCCTCTTCTTTTCTTCAACTTCGCGAGTTCTAATATCGGATTTTGTTCATTTTAATAAGTTGAAGACATGATAGATGTCAAATTGTCAATTAGAGGTGACAATCGAATTGTATGAGTAATAGACAACTTTTAAAAGAAAAAACTAATAATAAAGGGATTTTATATTTTCAACTTTTATATTCCAAAACCTTGCTAAAGCAATAATTTAGTAAAGATAGATTTCTTGGAAATAAATGTAAGAATCTTTTCTTTTACTTAATTTTTCCATTCATTTTTGGTAATTAAAAAAAATATATATTGAGTAATAAATAATTCGTTTGTGGAAATTATATCAATGATGTTAAAAAAAAAGTATGTGGATTATATATTTATGACCATGTAGGAAGTACAATTAGCATACAAGATTGTAATATTGACGAGTTAATTTACTTATGGTAATAAAGCTAGCACAATATAAATGTAGATTATGATTAGAGCTGTCAAAAGCTAACTCGACCTGAACTCAATTATTAACCGACCTGTTTGAACCCGAAAATGGTGACCCGAACCCAATATGACTCGACCAGAAACCAACCCTAGACCCAAGTTAACCCGAGTATTTGAGATCCGAACCCAAACATGAACCGACCTGGAGATGACCCGACCTGAATATAACCCGTAAATTATTGACCTGAACTGAACCCGACCTGAACCGAGATTGACCCAAACCCGTTTTGACCCGTCAAAACCCGAGTTTAACCCGACCCGAATTTAACTCGACCTGTTATTAAACCAACCCGAATTTTACCAGACCTATTACTAACCCGACCCGAAATTCAACCCGATCTATTACTAACCCGACCTGAAATTAACACGACTTGTTATTGACCCAACCCAAATTCAACCCGGCTTGTTCCAGACCCATTTCGAACTCAACCTAACCTGTTATTGATAGACCTGGCAATCGTGTCGTGTCATGTCGTGTTCGTTTTCGTGTCGAAAATTAAACGGGTTGGGCAAGGTCAACACTAACCCGACCCATTTAATAAACGTGTCGTGTCGTGTTGACCCAATTAATTAATCGTGTCGGAAACCCTTAACACTAACCCACTTTCTTCGTGTTCGGTTCATGTCGTGTTGTCGTGTTGAATTGAAAAATATTGGTCTTGTTCAATAGATTTATCAATAATTCCATAAATTATTGGTTTTTATATTAGGCGGGTTGAGTCGTGTTAATTTCGTGTTAAGAATCTTAACACTAACCCAACCTGTTTAATTAAACGTGTCATGTCGTGTTGACCTGTTTCACTTAATGAAACGTGTTGAAAACCCTTGATACTAACCCGTTTTTTTCGTGTTTGGTTCGTGTCGTGTCAGTTTTTGTCAGCTCTAGTTATTGACTTGACCCGATTTCAACTCACCTTAAATTCAATTTAGACCACCTTATTAATATTAATCAAAGTATAGTTATATAGTTGTGTTGTCACTTATTATGTATATCTTATCTAAACTTATTTGAACTAATTAGCTCGAATTTAAACTTATCTGAAATTATTTCTCTTAAAATAAATAAAGAAATTGATGATGATTAAACGTGAACGTCATTACATGAACTGTTAACAAACCGACCCAAAAAAATGTACCCGAACCCGATATGACCCGACTTGAAATCAACCCGAAACCCAAATTAACCCAATATTTTAGACCCGAACCCGAACATGACCCGACCTGATTGTAACCCGCAAATTATTGACTTGAATCGAACCCGAGAAGGACCCGACTTGGAAATGACCCGACCTGATTATAACCCGCAAATTATTGACTTGAACCGAACCTGACTCGAACTCGAGAATGACCCGACCTAATTATAACCCGCAAATTATTGATTTGAACCGAACCCGACTCGAGCCCGAGAATGACCCTAACTCGTTTTAACCCGTGAAAACTCGAATTAAACCCGACCTATTATTCACCCGACCCGAATGTAACCCGACCTGTTATTGACCCGACCTAAATCCGACCCAAACCCGATAAGATGTATGACTCGACGTGACCCGAACCTGACCCGCATAGGTTACGACATTAACCCGAATTGACCTGACCCGAATTCACCCGACCCAAACCCGACCCATTTACCCGAATTTACAGCTCTAATTATGATCAACAAGTAGTTGCATGATTTATTGCCTAAAAAAAGTAGTTGCATGATTTATAAATCTAAATATTAACTTAATAACAAGACAATGTTTTGAAATAAGGATACCCAAAACATAACATAAAATCACTCTCCCTAATCCCTACCCATGATCAACAATTATTAGGGTGAGAGTGAGGGTTAGATCAAGTGGTTAAACCTTCCCTTTTGATCCCATGTGATCTTGAAATTGATTTTCAAAAAAAAAAAAAAAAAAAAAACAATTATTGGGTCATTCATTAGCTACTCCGTATACTCTTAACAAAAACGATCAATCCGAGAAAAAAAAAAAAAAAAAAAAAAAAAAAAAAAACGATCAAATTTCGTCAACATTACTCTACCCCTCACGAAAAATAAAAGTCGTCGAGGATACCTTTCATTTCTTCAAATTTTAATTTTTTATAGTCACTGGATGATGTTTGAACAGACTGTACTGATGATTTCCAGTAAAACACTCCATTCTTCCCTTCAAAGCTAATTCAACTGTTCTTGATCACGACATTCAATCTTCACACCCACCAAAATTCACACAAGAACCCTAAAACCCCAAATTCGTGTGCATGAGATACCGAGAAAGAGGAGCTTCTGAAGCATCATTAATGGCGAATGTAGGTGGTGCTGGTATGAGCTCCATGATCGTCAATGGCGGCGAGTTATGGAAAGCTCATGGTGCCTTGGTTTTGGTTCAGCTCTGTAATGGCGGATACCATGTTATTACTAAACTTGTTCTTAATGAAGGTGTTAATCAGATCGTTTTCTGCGTTTTTCGCGACCTTATTGCTCTCTCAATCCTTGCTCCTCTTGCTTATGTTCGTGAAAAGTTAGTCAATTTTTCTCTCTCTTTCAATTGCTAATTTATAGTTTTGAATGGTTACATTTTGGTTTTTGATTTGAAATTTTGGTTGATTTTGTTTGTATTGTGTTTGAATTATTGCTGCTGCTTTGGAATGTTTTGATTCTTTGGATTAATTTGAGAGGGATTGAGATTGGGAGTGACTGGAATAGTGTGGAGGATGATTATTTGAGGACGGAGCGACTGTGAGTTTTAGTATAGTTTAAGCTATAGGATTTGGGGTTTTGGTTATTGGTTTGAGAAATTGATGTATAAATGTTGCTTGTGTTGAGTCTGAATCAGTGGAAATTTTGATATATTAGAAAATTTGGTTGCCGATAGTTGAAATAGTATACACGACGATTATTGAGGCTTTATTAGAGGACACAGGGAATCTGATTGTTTGTACTGTTTAAGGTATAAGATTTGGGAGTTTTTGGAGATTTTTAAAATGGTTGATTAGTAAAGGGGAATTGTTTTTGTTGCCTAAAATGGAAGAAGGGAATGAATATAATTCATTTGGTTGATTGAGGGAAATGGAATTTTTGTTCAATTTGGAAACTTGAAAAGTACTAGAAAGGACTTGAATCGCTCCCAATAAAACAGGAGAATTTAGCGACTTTAGCCACTTACGACTTTATGAGCATTGAGAAAAGAATTACAGCATTATAGTGCCTGCGTAATAATGTTTCACTGGGGCCATTTGGAACAAGTATAGAATGGAACTAGGTAACTACAAATCTTTATTACAAATCAGTTAAGTCATTTTGTTTCAGTTCCCTGCTTATATCAACTCTGTGCACTAACATGTGTATATGTATTCATTGACTGCATGCTTAATAAGATGGTATTGGTCGGCCCAGATTGAATGGAGAAAAAGGCTTTAAGAGAAGCATGTTTGAGTGAATTGCAGTCTTGCAGAAGTTGCTATTAGTGTGTGCTGATGAATTCTACAGACCAATTTGGTACCCAACTGAGACCAATTTGGTACCCAACTGATTGTTGAGGACTTGAGGTAGTACATTTGTGATTGGTACCCAACTGATTGTTGAGGTAGTATATGTGTAATACCTTATTAATGTCACTTTTTCTTTGTGATTGTAAACTAGATAAAGAAGGTAACTTTATAGTTTTTCCTTAGTTGAACAAGTATTTGTATGAGGAACATTTGTAAACAATGATTTTGTCTATTTTACCTAGACTCAACTAGGAGTAGGGGTGAGCAAACTACGTATCCGGTCAAAATTTTAGGAATTGGACCCAGAATTGATTGGGACTGATTCTAAAATTCTAGAAAGGACTTGAATTACTCCCAATGAATCAGGAGAATTTAGTAACTTTAGCCACTTATGCTTTAATTCTTCTACATATTGTACATGCAGATCATCTCATCGTCAATTAGAATATTTTTATTTTATAATTATAGAAGCCTTGAACCACTTACTTCTTATTTAGATCTTGGAAAAATGATAGAAAATTGTATTTGATCTTCATATAATGGTCAGAGTCTTGGAGAAGATTTATATTGTAAAAAGTTTGAAAGGAAAATGAAAACTCAGAGAGGGAAATGTAGGAGATAATTGGGGGCACATCTGTTTTGATGTGAAAAGAAGTTTGCTGACTTGAAGCTTTTTTTATTCAGTTATTTTCTTCATAGAACCTTCAACCTATATTATCATTACAATAGACTTCATAAACTTTTTTTATTTCTTTGAAAGTGACTTAAGTGGGCATTGTGACTCCTTAAGTCCTTTGTCTTAACCCATACGTGTAAGGTTAACATTATAGCAAAACCCCGTTTGGCGATAGCCTAAACCTTGTTACCCTATACCCTAAATCACTTAATTAGCCCCATTTCGAGGGGAATAATCAATTAGTCTTTTTTATCCCTTGAAAATCTGTTGCTTTGCATTTTTTAAAAAAACATCTTATAGAAGACATTGTTATACATAGGTTTTTAATGTCCAAAAATGAACATCTGTATTTCTCTTTCTCAATGTGGGTCGTTTTAGATAGAACTAATTCAAAAATATCTTTCTTTCTAAATGTGGGTCGTTTTAGTTAGAACTAGTTCAAAAATAATATATGATTACACTTTATATACCTGAGGATACCTGTATGACATTGATACTTAAATTTATCTAGTAGCAGTCAGGATGCATATGAAAAAAGAGAGCACGATTTTCTTCTTTACAACAAATGAAAATGAAACAAAAGGGCTACCTAATCCCCAGAAACCTGATGTCTTTGGTCCTTAAAAGAATCTGATGTTTTGTATTTGATTTCTGCAGGCGAGTTCGACCACCAATCACTAAAAATCTTCTTGTTGGATTTTTCTTCCTTGGGCTTACCGGGTATGTGAGAAGATATTGCTGGTTTTGTTGTTGAGCAATCTCCTGATTATTATCTGAGGTGCTATGTTAATTACTTGACTAGGATCTTTGGAAACCAACTTCTGTTTCTTATTGGTCTGAAGTATACAAATCCAACATATGCTGCAGCTATACAACCTTCAATTCCAGTATTTACTTTCCTCTTGGCCACAATAATGGGGTCAGTTTGATCAAATTTGGTTAATTCTGTATCTTTTATCTATTCTTTGCTGTTACTTATTAATTTGCTTATATTAATCTTTTCCATGCAGCACAGAAACTGTGAATTTATATAGAGCTGAAGGGAAAATGAAGGTTGCAGGCACATTTTTGTGTGTTTCTGGTGCTGTTTTGATGGTTGTATATAAAGGGCCGTCTATTCTTGGACAAAAAGAAGAGATGGAACTGCATGGTGAAATCAGTGCCAAAGGACAGCCAGAACCAGTTGGATGGCTTGTTGCTAGGACCATGGAATTTGGGTTTGACACATTTCACCTTGGTGTACTATGTCTTATTGGGAACTGTGTGTGCATGGCAACTTATCTTGCAATTCAGGTATTACTGCTTTTATAATTCTTTGAAGTAAATCATGATACTGCTAAACTATTGAGTATCTAGGAATTAGTAGGTTGGGATTAATGATACATACATAACTTCAAAGTCGTAGGTTGGGAGTAGGAACTTCTCTAGTTGAAAAGTTAGACCATTTGATTTAACTTTTCTCTTATGAAAGAAATTAATGGGCATGAGATGCATGGAGCTTCAGTCTTGTCAAGATTATGATTGCAGCAATTGAGCTATGATCATTATAGGGACATTACTTCTCTCATAATTCTAACGGGGCTGAATATTGAGGGTTTTTTTTTCCCCTTCTCTTTTTCTTTGTACTAAAAAAAAAAAAAAACCCTAGATAGAGAGAGCTAATTATTTATAAGGGAATGTACAATATTAGTTTCTGAACTAGAAAATAAGTTTCAAATTTAGTTTATTGCAGAAACAATTACCAAAAGTTGTCTGTTTAGTCTCAGTGTTCATTCCTACCAAATTCTTGTAACTTTCACTGTTGCTTTTCAGTAGTCAGAGAAGTTTTTGAGGAGAAGAAGGTTGGGGGTTGGGGGTTGGGGAAAGGGGCCAGAGGGGAAAGGCATAGCCACTTTCTTCCCTTTAAAAAACCGATGCTGCTTCCTTCTACTGCTTCAGCAGCTTCTACAAGATGCCACCAGTGCCTATTTTTTTTATTTCTTACTAGTTCATTTCCTCCTGCTAACTCGAAAAAAGTGTTATTAAACCATAATCAATGCAATGACATTAATACATTGATTTGTAGCTGCATAGACTAGACGATTTAGGTTTGAGATATTGAAGATGAAATTGGGTGGTGCAAATCAGAAGTCTCCTGCAAACCTGGAGCAAATCTGACTTCACTCATACTGTCATGCTCTGCTTTAGTGGAGACTTAGAGACTAAGGAAGGGATCATGAGCTCAAGGTGCCTGCTGAACCAAAGATGGACTAGGTCGTGACGGCGGGTTGGCTAGGCATGGCACAGTGGGCTTAATTTGAGCAGGGCCACCTTAAATTTTCTTTTTAGTCTCTTAGAAGAAAGCATAGGTCAATTCTGATATTTTCATGCTGTTTTTTGGAATTTTCATTATTAATACTTTACAGATTTGCTGAGATATCTGAAATATACTCTGTACAACATACTACCTCCGTTTTGCTGAGTCTTCAGTTACTGTAGCTACGTAAACCCAGGAAAGTAAAAATGGGAACCATTCATGTGGGTTCTTTTGTATTAAAGAGAAGAGAGATAGAGAGTAAAAAAATTATTAAATACAATTGGGCCCTACAAAGTAGGGTTTTAGATGACAAAAACTGAATAAAAAGTTGTCATAAAAGGAATAAAGTAAAAGTGAGTAACACTTAGAAAAACGAAAGTGAGTAAGACTTAGGAAAACAGAGGTAGTATTGAATATTCTATAATCCTTCTGGTGTTTAAAAGTTGTAATGCTTCTTATTTTAGGTCAAAACTTGTAAACTTTGACTATATTTTTTTTACTAATTAGTAAGTACTTCCTATGTTTTTATTTAGTTGCAAGAATTCTATTTTGGGAAATTCTCAATGGTAGCCATGTACTATTGCTTATTTCCAATGGTAGCCAATTTTTTTTTTTCGATTCTCAATAGTAGCCTTCTACTTTTTAAAAGTTCCAAACGTAACCTCATTTACTGAATAACGTTAAATAGCTGTTAACTAAAGTTAAGCAAAATAATTGTTAAAGTTAACTACAGTTAAACATTTTCTCTTTCCTTCCCTTCATCTTCATGGCTGCCACCCATCCCCATTCTTCTTCATCTTCTTCCTCCCTTCATCTTCATGGCTGCCATCCCTAACTCCTTCCTCCGTGATAGCCCACCGGCACCGGCCAACCCCTACCCACTACCCACTACCCACTGCCAATTCTCCCCGACACCTAGCCCCCACCTCCTTTCAAACCCATCCCCCTTCACCCACCCCCAAATGCACTCGTGATGATTCCGATCAAGCTTGGTGACATTAATGGCAGAAACTTGCGCACCACCACAGTCATCGACTTGACGAATAATCAGCAAAAGTTATCGTCTAAACGAAGTCGTTGGATAGCAGCCCAATAAGGTTGTCTTCGTCTTTAGCGACTATTCGGAGTTTGAAATTAGGGCTTGATTGAGTTGAAGTTTGATGAAAGTGGGGGAATTGATTAAGGAATTCTACAATCTGCAGACGCATTGGAAGCATAGAAGTGATTTAACAGGTAAGCGTGAGACAATTTCGGCGGTTACTTCAGTCATGAGTATCGCCATTGTTGCCTTAGCTCGAGCTTGAAAATCAGAGGGGATGGGGGAAAGGGTGGGTGTCGGGGAAGGGGATGAGTGGGGTCTCGGGTAAGGGCTGGGGTAGAGTTGCCAGTGGAGGTTAGCCGGGCGCTGACGGTGGAGGGGGAGGGGGAGAGGGTTGGTGGCTGGTGTGGAGCGTTGTTTTATTTTTACTATTATTTTTATTTTATTTATTATTTTTTCTTTAAAAAGTTAACCTTGGTTTGAAATAAGGTTAGATTTTACAGAAATTTAACGGAAAAACATAAATAAGGTTATTATGGTTGGAACTTTTAAAAAGTAGAAGTCTACCATTAAGAATCGAAAAAAAAAAAAAATTGGCTACCATTGGAAATAAGCAATAGTACATGGCTACCATTGAGAATTCCCTTCTATTTTTCATGTTTGCCAATGCATTACTTCAACTGTTTTTATTTTTAATTATGTATTTGTAAAAATTATAAGGATTAAATTTTAATAAAGTACACATTGAGACAAATGTAACAAGATTCCATATGACTATGTATTTCTTAAGTATAAATCTTGAATTGTAATTGTAGTTGTGTATGTGAATAGTATACACTATTGAAATGTTGCAAGTATAAAAAAAAGGTCGAAGTATACGAAAATGTTTTTGGTGGGGTATTGTTAGATTCAAGTCTATGCAATTTATATTTTTAACTATTTATAACTTTTACGATTCATAATTAAAAAATGTAAATGGTCAAAAGTGCGCATTGAAGACCATGAAAAAGAAGTGTTACCACTTTTTACAAACAAGGTAGTACGTTTTAATATAATTTAGCCAAGTATAAAATTGTTATATGAGTAATTTATACTTTCTCCATTCTTTTTTACTCATACTATTTGTACTTTAACACTACTCGCATACTGTATTTTGACAATATTTTGTGATTTAAACTTATGGAAAATTATAGTCACGTGGATCCTTGTAGATTCATCCCGATCTATCTTCAAAAATATCAATTTTTATTACTAAAAACAAATTACAGATATTTACAGTCAAATTATGCTTTGGTTAGCGTGAAAGTCTAACTAGTGTAAGTAAAAAAGATAATGAAGGACGTAGTAAACTTTTGCTATTAGAATAACAAAATGCTTATAATGCACTGTCATTTTCTGCATAATATTTTTGTGTGCATGGTGCAAAGCTTCTTCCAAAGCATAAGGGAGTTGAGATTATTGTGTGTGTGTGTTTGGGATATTGAAGGTTGAACTTGTGACCTTAATGTCATGAAGTGACATGTTTATCTAGTGCTTGCTGAGTTTTGCATATGATTGTAAATAAAAGTGGAAAAAAAATTCAGGATTGTAGCTTGTCTTATGGATTAAAAACTTATCTTTGTAACATATTTTGCAGGCTCCAGTTCTGAAGAAATATCCAGCAAGCCTCTCGGTGACAGCGTATTCATATTTTTTTGGTGCTCTTCTTATCGTTACTTCTTCGTTTTTTATGGCCAATGACCCGACAAGCTGGAGTATGAACCATGATGAACTGTTTGCCGTTTTCTATGCTGTAAGTTTTTTTTTGTTTTTGTTTTTGTTTTTGTTTTTTTTGTTTTTTTTGTTTTTTTTTTTTTACCCTTTTTATGATGTCAACCTTAGTTAGCTACAAAGCGTCAAGATCACATTCCACTCCGGCACTTAATTTGAAGTTGACTACATGAATTACAATTGTAATCACAAGTTCCTTTTTAGATACATTACTATTGTATTAGAGGTACATTAGTGGCATATTACTTTATTACAAGTACATATAAATTTCCCATTGACTTGGTATCTTAGCTAGTTGATTTCTGTTGCCATCAAATCCAAATTAAACTCCAAATTCATAACTCTTCATCACTATCCTAACTTTGTATATAGCAATTGCTATAATCGTGGTGATTCACACGCATCTCATCAGAATTCCCATTGACTCCCTTTGTCCCAAAATTAAAGCCCTGTCTCCCAAAAACCTTGTCCTTAAAGAAGAGCTCTATTTCTCTCATTTGGGTGGGTCCATTATCTGCTTCTTTTTTACTCGCAAACTAACAAAACCCCTCCATTAATTCGTCTCACTTTCCTTTAAAAACAATTAACTATTTCCATTACCTTCTTATTTAACTCTGCTATAATTAACAATACCTCTACTACAATTTCTTTAAAAATACCCTTGCTTAGGAGATATGAGGCTTTTATATAGGGAGTAGGAATATGGCAAGAGTTTAAATTTGTGAGGATGTGGCAAGTGTTAAGGCATCTGTGAATTGTGTTCGTGTTCTAGTGTGCTTACGATATTTGGAATCTTCATCCTCCTCAATGCTTATGGCTTAGGGCTAGCAAAAGCTGACCCTACTTAATATTCCAACCCGAAATCAACCTATATATAGCGGGTTTGGGTTGAGTTTTTGATCTGATTTATAAAATGGATTAACCCGAACCCAACCTGAAATCATATGGGTTAGGTTAAGACTCGAAATAACAAATGATTTAGAATCAAATTGGTTCTATCCGAACCCAAATTTATAACCCGGACTAAGGGGAAACCAACAAGTGTCCTTTTGGCTAATCTTAGGTTTATAACCAGCTAGCGGCTACCCTTTTTACAGCCTTTCTTTCTATCTTCATTTATTCAATGGAGGCTTTTTAGTCCTTTTGCTTTTTTTTACCACCTTCATCGGCCCCGCTACTCCATGGGTTTAGCTCAATACGAAAATGGTAGGTCAAATGGGTTCAGGTTGATCCATTAATAAATAATAATACATAAAAACAAAAAATTTAAAATTCAAGTTAAATAGGTCAACTCGAACCCGACTTGGGAACAAAAAAAGAAAGACAGATTAGGTTGGGGTTTAGAAATTGAACCTGCATATTGTTCGGGTTGGTGGTAAGTTAACCTGGTTAGAGCTATCCCGAACATGAATCTGACCTAACCTGATCTAATTGTCGGTAGGGCTCCTGATAGGTTTGCTTCTAACCAATCCAAAAGAAGGAAGAAATTAGGCTGCTTTGATTCATTCAGATACATGATGCTTGCTAATAAATATAATTTGATTAATATTTGGAATCAGGGAAGAGGTGTGTGTCAGTGTGTGACTGCTTTTTGATGGTGTATATTATTGTTTTGGCATCTGCAGATTGCTGTTTCATTGTTTTATACAAGTATTTATCTTATCTGCAATAAAAACAGTGAATGTCACTTTATCTTTTCAGGGAATCATTGCATCTGCCCTCAACTATGGACTTATCACATGGTCCAATAAAATATTGGGGCCTGCATTGGTCGCTCTTTACAATCCACTTCAACCTGCAGCATCTACCTTTTTGTCACTTATCTTTCTAGGAAGCACCCTATACCTAGGAAGGTATGGTTTGGCAGAAATAAAAGATATTGATTTTCATGGTTAATGCTATATTTTGCTTTCTATGTTAAAATTTATTTGCTTCATTTGCATTCACTTTACAAGTTATTAGTGTCAATTGTCCTGAATAAAATTAAGCACTAAGTGTACCTTAAATGGCGGATCCTCTCTGCAGTGTGCTGGGAGGCTCTTTAATTATTGCTGGCTTATACTTGGTCACCTGGGCATCCTACAAAGAAAAGCAAGCTGCTGCAGGTATACCTTCTGAACCTCTAATTCAAAAAGATTCTTCACTCAGCAAGATGCACCAGCAAGGACTCATTTTTGCTAGATCATCATCTTCATTATACAAGGTTTTGGATTAGGTAATATGCACAACATGGAGCTTATCCTTAACTGTCTTATTTCCAATTTCTGTGGCCATTGCAATTAAGGTATCTCTATTTGTTTACATTTTCATCAATTCCATTTATGCATTGCTAGTTTGCTACCAACATAAAATGATGATAATGTGCAGTTCTTGTTCAACAGCAGCTGATGTTTTTTACTGCTTAGACAAAACAATATCTATGCAGCATAGTCCTTTACCTCAAGATATTGATCTCAGACTGCATTAACAGTTTCATTGAACTCTATTAAAGCAGATACAATCATAATCTTGCCTGAGTGTTTCTTTGTCCATTCATGTTAGTTTCATGTCTAATATTTCATACTATTTATGTTACTGTAGTGCTGTACCCACTCTGACCCTTGAACGTAGAAAATAAAATCCCTTCGTTTTAAAGTTCAGGAAGTCTCACTCTGTACCCACTATTTATGATGAGCTTTGGCCATTATCTTCTTCCAAAATATGTGTTACAAATATATACTCTCTTCATCCTAGTGAAATGTCCATCTTGTTATTTCAACAATTGTTATCCCTTTCAGTTATTATGTGCTAATGTGCCATGCCAAAAGCGCCGCCATTTAATTTTGATACGTATAGTTTTGATCTAGTTTTGTCAAATCAGTCACTTATTAAAGAAGGCAAGGATGGGTAGCCTGGATGTTTAAACTTCGTCTAGTAAGCGGTTGTTGTGGTGGGAGTGAGGGACAATTCAAGAAGGAAAGGTGGCCATATTTCAAAAGACTGAGCAAATAAAAATTTATATTTTTAGAACTATATTGTAAATTGCTTTTATTTCGTATCTTGTATGTTAAGCTACAAAACCTATCTTGTTTGTTTAGTTATCTTGGATCCAGTTTGAATCGTACCATTGGAATGGCTTAGGGAGTCATAATCACTAACTTGCCTCCTTAACTGTGTAAAACGCTATACATTTCTCAAATGAATCTGTAGATGTTCTTGCCTCAGAAATGAGCGTCTTACACCTACAACCTTTTAAGTGCGCTGCCTTCACAAGATGTGTTGGGCACATGTTGCAGATTTACGGAGTTAGAAAAGTCAAGGGAAGATGATTGAGTATTCCTTAGTTTTTAGTTGACATCATTTTGTAGACTTAAAATCTTGATTACAAAATTTAATTGTTTTACTCAGAAATGATATAAAGGAAATTTTATAGTCCATTATGTTGTTATGCTATGCCAGCTGAAAATTGTCTGTCTTTGATATGAACTTTTATTATGCCAGATTACTTGCTTCTACCAGTGCAACTAATTGCTCATGATACAGGTGAAGAGCTATACAAATGTACAGCAAACATAATGGTTCCAAAAGGAACTATCACCAGGAACAGTGGTTGATATTGTGTATATCAAGATCCAGGGCTCACGACTTCTGCAGATAGCGTTATGGAAAATGTGTATTTCAAAGAGACAGCACGATGGTGGTTGTATATACTGCTAGCTATATTGGCCAAATCTATCTCAGGATTTGGCTTTTTCCACGTGGAATTTAGAGCAAGCTTCCCATTGAAACCGAGATTTTCAATTTGCATAATTAAGTTCAAGATCATTTGTTGTAGCCAAGTTATATGATTCTCTTTGTAAGGACAAAAACAAAGGTCTTTTCTGAGAGGTTTTATCTATGCTATGCATACCTGTTCTATATCCATCAGTATCATGATTCATAAGAAACAGAAATGACCCAAGGCATATACATCAGAGGACTATTGGCATGGTAAATTCATACTCCCTGTCCCTTAATTTTTGCACCATTTGCCCCAAAAACTCCCACCAAAAGTAGGTCTATGGTGCAATTAAAAGAGACCGAGGGATTAATAGCTTTTGCAGTAATGACCTATGTTGCACGGACTCAGACTTGGGGTCAGTTTGACACATTGTCGGATAAATTCTTGTATAAGGTCATTATATATTTGGGTGTCATACCGTGTCAGAGGATCCGACACCCGACGTACATCAGATGTCGAAGTAACATAGGTAATGACTCACCAGACCTATCAAAATAACACGACAAAACAAAAAAGTAGAGCAAATGTAGAAGATCGAACTGAAGAACTAGACTAGAGGATATAATTCGTATATATCAGCAAAGAATGGAAAATTTGCAGATGAATGAGGTTACGTAACTTACATTACACAATACAAATTTTCAAAAACCACTGACTACCAATTTCTCAATATTATAAGGCTAAGCTACTACCTGGATGCCAAGCTTCTTTAACACTTGGCATTGTCAGCAAAAGCTTCTGAACTCAGAGAAGCACACAACATATGACTGACCTAAGATGTTTAGTAGCCAAATGTTTTCTTTTTCTCTGTTAGCTCAAAATGCAAAATCACTATTGTATCTGACAGCTAGGTCACCTTCTTTTTTCTTTTGGTTCATTGCGCAGTTAGAGCTGTCAAGAACTTATGCTGGCATCAGCTACTAGATGCAGTAGAGACATTATTGTTGAGACAAATCCTATGAAGCAAAGGCCTAGCAATAAGACCATCAGTGACCCAACCTGCTAATTCACTATCATGCTTTGCATGGTCAAATTCCCTCCGCACATAATCAAGAGATATCTGTAACTTCCCACCAGGTCTACAGTCATCAGAAGCATTTTTCGATGGTATTCCTGCGTTGGTCTCAAGCCAATAAAGGAAGTTGACCTGGTACACAGATCTTAGCATGTCTTGCGGTGAAGCACTTTCTTTGAGTATAACCTGCACCAATCAAGTCCAAATTAATAAGAAGCAATAAAACAAATTGAGACTATGATAAAAGGACAGAACACTAAGTGTACAACTTTATCAAATTAAGTACTCCGTATATTTTTACAGGAACTATTAATAAAACATGGGAATACCGAAAATTGAGTAACAAGGAGATTAAACAATTCTAGTAGTACTTATATTGACTTGGGGTTGGCAACAAAAAATTTAGATCATGGTTCATAATAATTTACTATTTTAGTGAGGAACAAAGAAAGTACAATGATTACTCTCGTTCCCAAATTTCTGTTGTATTCTTTTCAGCTTACACCTATCTTCAAGTCTTGATTAAACTACACTTATGAGAAAGCAATCAAATCATATAAAATTTCATCAGCTCACCCCTCTCCTTACACCACCCTAATCTTCTTCATTCAGCAACTAAGGCTATGTTCACCATTCAATTTATTTAAGCAAATAATTGCTTATGAGGTACTTCTATTTCAGAAATGTTCAAATCAGACCACGTCAGACCATAAATTTTTATCTGCACGTGGTTATTGCTAATTAATTTTAGTACCGTTATCAAAATAATTATGAAAATTTCAAAATTTGAAAGTACACATTAATGCAAATCTAACGACATCTCATTTGATGATTTCACATCAAGTGAACTGAACTTACCCTAAACTTGTTACTATCTACTCTAATAACCCCTTTAGAGCATGTTTGGTTAGTGTACCTTTTTTATTGGAAACGGATTCAGTTAAATTATTACCGTTATCGAATGTTTGGTTAAGAGATTTGGTAACAATTACCTTTACCTAAGGGTAAGGGATTCCACCCATTTGTTACCACTCTAAAACCTAAGGCAACAAATACCCTTACCCCCCTCAGATACAAAGGGATTCCTTTCCATAGTTAAACCAAATAAATAAAAAGGTAATAGTTACATGATTCCTTTTCCTCCTCTTAATTGTTTCCTTTCCATTCATTTCCATTGTTCTAACCAAACGCCCCCTTAATGTGCATCATTTTTCCCACCATCTTTCACTTTCAAGAGTGTTAAATAAAAATGTATTTGTATGTAATATTTCTTGCTAGTGGCTAAAGGCAGTGCGTCAGCAGTATAATTATAAGTAATAATGTAAATGCAATATACAACACTCAAATCAGAATAGATCAGACAGAGCGGTTCTATCTACAAGAAGCTGTCAAGTTAGAGGCTGCAAATTCTGAACCCTTCATTCCACAGTCAAGAATCTAAAGCTAACAAGAAAAGAGTTCATCCTATGTACATTCAACAAAGGCTACTTGAATTACACAAGAAGCAGAGACACATATGAGAAAAAAGGAAGGGGGGGGGGGAAGGGGGGTGGTTAAGAACTCAGTTTCATATAAACATGCAAGAGTTACTTACACAAAACTTTCCCTTGTGCTCAGCTAAGATGTAGCCTTCATTTCTATAGAGATCAAGAAGTGCAACTACATCCTCTCTTCTCTGAATTACATCACTCAGTGTGGATCCTAGCTCAAGCCGCTTCTCAATTTCTGCAGCGGCATTCTTGGCTTCAATTGACAGATTTGAAGAATTTGGCTGCATGAAGATACATTTGAACAATTAGGCATAAGTTCATAACATACAATGCCATGTTTTTGCAGAACATATAAGATTTTGTATTACAAAAAGATCTTACAGAACCATCAAAAATTCAATTAGCCAGTCACTAGTCAGCAATCCAAGGGAATACAAGACATCCCCCCCCCCCCCCAAACACACACACACACACACAAAAAACTACAATCATCCTAGCCTCAGTGTGGAAACACGCCTAATACCTTCAATACATGTTTTTCCTTGTAATGTCATGGAGAGTTAGGCGTGTTTCCATACGGACTGGATGTGACAGATTCAAAGGTGATTTCTATCAAAAAATAAATGAATAACTTCTTTCGATACTTTCCCTTTGTCAAAGTAACACAATGCTTGTAAAGTAACACACCTCTCGGAAACAACTTTTAACAGTCTTCAAATGGAAAAGGATATGGCTATGTACATTTGGATAACCTAGGATTAATCGAATATGGGATTAACTCTAGAATATTGTTCATTCTACATACATAACCAACCATGCGCAGCAAACTATTGTATATTTTTATAATTAGGGGAAAAGGAAAAGGATGGGAAGGAAACCCCATATTGGGTCCTGTACAAGCCATGTTTCATGCAGAAAATCAGAAATGAGAATAAAGAAACTCACTTTATCAGCCGGCCTCAAATTCAGATTTGGTAATGCTGGAAAAAGAGGTTCCTCAGCATTGACGTCATTAACAGAAGGCACCTGACCACTCAACAAATATTCACTGAACAGTAAGCCTGTAACAACATGTTTCAGCAAGTAATTAGACTATTACCATGATTAATACTTAGTATGAGGTTATCTCCAAGTAGACTAAAGCTTAAAAGAGAATGCGGCCCCTAGTTATTAGCTGAGACCTCCAAATATTAGTAACTAACAAGAATCAATAAAAAATGTGGCCTTAAGACAATTATTGACACATCATTTCAAAGTATATTCTTTGCAGATAATTTTTGTGATTCTAACTTGAGAAAATGATTACTTCTAGGGAAAAGAAGTACTTGCTCGATATGGATTCAAAGTCCTCAGCTGAATGGATTGATAAGACTTCAGATTGCAGTACATGTGAACGCAAGTTATTATACCAAAACAAGCAAGGGCAAGTTGTGTAGAGGAGCCTATGCGATTAGCTAAAGCTATCCCAAGCATGATGCCAATTGACTTGCTCACCATTCCTTGTGCTTCACCCTTTGCAATTACCTGACACAATATATTTAAAAAAATCACACAATGTCGTAATACCATCCTAGTAGCTAAAGGAAAGAGGAGACTCCTCCACTTTGACAATTAATTACGTGTAAAACCCATATCTACCTCTGCAAAATTCCTCTTTGCAGCAAAGCCTGCATAGAAACAGCTTCTTGTGGCAGCCTACAAAACCATTATATTAAGTGTTAGCACATAATGAACAGATGGAACTTTTAAAAGGATGTGGTGAGTATCACTGTAAACCAATTGAAGAATTAAAATATTGAAAAAATTCTATATAAACCTGTAATGAGATGGAAGTGATGACTGATGAAATGGCCAGTCCAAACTCCAAAGTCTGATCTCCAGACATCACAGATTTTTTTAATTTTTTGTAATGATTATAATTGTCATAAAGATGAAAACTGAACAGATTATAGCCAGAATCCATATTGACTGCCCATTTCTCAACAATACCAAAAGAATTTGAAGGAGTAACAGCTAATTCTAAGAGGTACGTCTTTATTTAACTCAACAAGAAATACATGCAAACACTTGTCAACATGTGAGAAATTGAAGAGTTTAATAGAAGCACCATAGAAGAAAATGTGAAAACAGGTTTTTCAAAATAGACTATGACGCAAGATAGAGACAGAGACTGAGAGGTGTCAAAAACAAAAAAAAGCATTAGCTAAAAATGAACAATTCAACATCAATGCAAACTGATATTTTCTTAAATTACCAATACCCAGATCCCAGTATCTTCTTAGCCTGTAAGATACCCATGTATTTAAGGGCAGAAGGGTAAGAGCAGTTTTTCACTATACAACACAAAAAAAGATAAAAATTCAAGCAAGATACAGACTCTAGTACTCTACAAAAGGTAATGTAATCAGTAAAACCAATCAATTAGTATTATAATGGACAAACATCTACTTGGAAAGCTATGGTCTGAAACAAATTGAACACAACAATTCCTTATCCATTCAAGTGACATAAAAGATAAATATATATATCTATGTGTATGAAGTATGATGGAACAATTAACTTCAAGGCAACTTTCAGACGCATCAAATATGTTGAATGTGTTATGCGTAAGAGATTGTTTGAGCACATGGGATAGTTGGGCTAATGTAGCCACCACCAGCATTAATTAAAAGGTCTGAATTTTCTTTTTTGCTCTTTAGCCGCCAGAGTGCAGTATCTTGGTCCTAAAGCATTCTTTTTGACCAAAACTAACTCAGAAGTTAGAAAGCACAGAAAGTTTTATCCTACCTGGATCAAGGTAGCAGCAGATCGTCCAGCTCCAGCAGCAGCACCAATGAAGACGAAAAGATGAGGAAAAGCAGGTGTTAATATCTCCAATCCAAAAGCACTATTCTCCAAAAGATCAGCAAACAACCTCCATCCTTTTGGATGAACATCAAAGTGTCGCCCATATTTTGACAGCATGATCTTGCTAAGATATCCAATTCCATCCTTAAGCACCCAATTTATTGCCGCAGCAGTAGGAATCGCCCCCTTTCCCAGTCCAACAGCAAGAAGCAAAGACTACAAAGATAGGCAACCAAAAACTACTCATAAAAGAGAACATGACAAACAAAAACATTTTCTGAAGTCTGAACCCATCAACATAACATTTTTGCAAGCAATTAAGAAAAAGTTTTACTCAAGCTAACCTGTGTGGCAAGTACCCCACTGATCTGACTAGCAATACCCTGGACCCCTCTCCACAAAGAGTAGTCCAAATAATCGCTGGTCACGCTGTCAGGAAAACCTTCTGGTAGCATCAAACGAAATACTAAATCTTTGCACAGCAACCATAAACTAGGAAGTCTCGCTGAGAGATTTAGGATTCCATCATCCATATTCCCCTTTCCTGATGATGACGGAACCGTTACAAATTCGTCTTTTGAATAATCAGGAACTAGTTTTTTTCTCTGACTTCCTTTGATCTCCCATACAACCTCCTTTTCCTTTATGTCCCCTTCCTTCTCAATACTCCCTAAGGCACCTGCAGGATCTAAATGGAACAGGCGAAGGAAACCTAAAACTGACACCAAGCATAGCAGAATCTGCCGAGAAGAAAATATTATCTCTCCCATTTTGAGGTTATCATCCCATATGTGGCCACTGAGAAAGGAAGTCAACTGATAGGTCCAAAACAATGCAAAGGTACGCAGAATCCCACCATGACTTTCCTCATGGTTACTATCACCATCGTTATCATTCTTATCGTTGTTTTTTCCTTTGCCATTGTTGTTATTATTGTTATTGCCATGATTCCCATAATTGCCATTATCTAATAAAAAATCAGGTCCTAATGAAGGGAGGACATGTCTCAACTCAAATGCTTTAGTTGCAACCGCACGCTGCAAATAACTAACTTTATTCGTAAAAGAAAATTCATGTGCTTCCAACCGAGCCTTCAGATTTCTATGTTGAGAGACGCTTTTGGGTTGAAATGAAAATTTTGACAAATTATCCAAAAGCAATGCCGTAGAAGTGCAAGTGCAGCCCATGGGTCACTTGTGCAGCTTATATATATCCACAACGACAAATGTAATCCTACAAATCCAATATCTTCAAACGTAATAGACCCATGAGTTGCATACTGCACAGACTCAAGTCCTTCTGATATGTACAAAGAAACCTGACAATTAGAAACTCTTATTACTTTCAATTTCCGAAAGACGAGGTCAGACATTGGCAAGAGAGGTACCCAGCCTAACAATTCAAGGTTCATAAAGGATGCTAAACCATCAAGGCATTGAGCCGAGCTGCCACTATTCGGGCTCTAATAGCCTCAAAACTTTTCAGCTCAACTCGGTCCGATTAGGCTCGAAATACGCAACACATTGGCAACAAAATTTGATTCAACTATCAAATTGAGCTCGAAAAATCACATATAATCTTCTTCTAGCTTAAGAATATCAATGTAAATTGCCAAAAATGCACATATCAAAATTCTTGCAATATAATCGCTCGCTATAAGATTTCATAATTTGAGTAATAATATAAACTATAGTTCAATAATCTACCTTGCATAAATTGACTATACTGACAACAAAATTAATGATAATGTGAAGTGAAACCCTAGATTATGAAATTGAAATTCAATGATTAAGAAATAAAAAAACAAACAACTTACTCAAAAGCTGCTTCGATGTAAATAGAGAATGCTCGGAAGGTGTTTCAATGGAGAACTCAGAGTACGCTTCAATGGAGGAAATAGAGAGAGGTGTGCAGCGTAAGAAGTGAAAAGCTCAGAAGATTAATGTCAACAGATAAATATGACTGTTAGCCGTGCGGGGCTCATGTATTTCGGGGTTGGCTAGGCTAGCCCGCCAAATTTACAAAAGGTCGGCATATGCACCACCTAAGCCCACATGCCATTGTGCCAATCCGTGCCATGATTTGCCTAGGCTAAATTTCATTGATTTTAACATGTTTTGTTGTGTTATTCGGGGCATGTTTTGTGACTTTTGTCATGGTTCACTAAAATAAAAGCATCATGCACAGCAACACGTTATATTGTGGTTTTTTCGTTCTAAGACAGGTCATGCATAGTGTCATCATTATCAATAGAGCTAGCAAAAGTTGACACGACACGATTACACGGCACGAACCGGATACGAAAAAAGACTCGTTTAGTTAAACGGGTCAACACAACACGTCACGATTAATTAAACGGGTTAGGTTAGTGTTGAAAATTGTAACACGAAAGTAACACGACCCAACCCGCTTAATAGGCGGGTCGTGTTCAGGTCAACCCGTTTACTCGCTAACCTGTTTAAGATATATAAAAAGATTAAAAATCTTATATTCTACTGTGGCCCAAAAAATTAATAGTGACCCAAAAATTTAAGAATAACCCAATAAATGAAAAAACCTAATTTAACCTAATATCTCACTAACCTCAGCCATCATATATAAGGATATGAGCTCCTCTGATTTACTTTTTCTCTTATTCACTCTTTCACTCTCACGCACAAGAGGTAAGCTTTCCTCTTACCTCACTTCTCTCATGATTCCCAAATTCCTATCTAACCATACTTTAACAGAGCCCTTTTCCTAAATAATGCTGCCAAAAAACACGATTCCACAAATACAATCACTTTTTTAGAAAAAAAATTTCTCTCCATGGACGCTCATAACAACTCGGATACGAGTAACAAATCTGCTGAAGAACATGATCAAATTGTTCGTTCAACTAAAAAGCCTAAACGAAAAATTAATCATTTAATTTTCAATGAGCGAATCGATGAGGAGATGCCTGAGGCTGATGAGACTGATGAAGGAAATAACATGAATATTCAGAAGAATGTTCCCTTGCCCAGAAATGTCAATAGTTCGCATTCTTTTAGGGATATGCTCCAGGGTGACAATAGGAACATACCCCAAAACAATACCGAGACTGAGGTATTTGAAATCGATATGGAAGAGGTGTCGGATGATGAAGAAATACCGGAAGACATTCTCAAAGATGAACGTTGCCCGGTGATTCAACTGTCCAAAGAAGAGAAAGCAAGACTCAGGCATCCATGGCTGAATTCCTTAATTATTAAACTTTTCAGTGGAAGGCTAGGTTACATGGGCTTGATGAGAAGATTAAAGAAAAAATGGAACATCAAGGGGGAGTTAGCACTCACTGACATTGGATGTGACTATTATATAGCCAGATTCTCCAATGAGGCTGATTATAATTATGTGCTCACACAAGGACCATGGATGCTGGATGATAACTACCTAACCATCAGGAAATGGGTACCCAACTTCGTGCCAGATGAATCTCCCATCAAAATTCTCACAGCTTGGGTCCGTATCCCTAACTTACCAGTTGAATACTTTGATATCAATTTTCTTAACAAAATTGGGTCTAAAATTGGCAAGGTCTTACGTGTTGATAAGACCACCGCTCAAGCTGAACGTGGGCAATTCACTAGGCTAAGTGTGGAGATCGACTTGTCCAAACCCCTGCTATCAAAATTCTGGTTAAAGGGTAGAATATGGCGGATTCAATATGAGGGTATCAAGATGGTCTGCTTCAAGTGTGGAAAATTAGGACATGTTGCGGATGAATGCGACACACATAATGCTGCTAAAGATCAAATGAAGGAGATGACAGTTCATGACAATCCTCTACATGATCAAGGTCAAAAACCAGAGGAAAGGGAAGATTTTGGGTCTTGGATGTTAGTCAAAAAACCGACTCGTAAGAAACCATTGAAAAATACTCACAACTCAGATGGGGCTACTAACGTCGTACATGGTGGTGCTAAAGGTTCGGAAAAGGGTGATGCTGGTGGTGGACTACCCAGAGATAAACAAGGAAATATCTCCCAGAATATAGCTCCTGGCGAAAATCACGGGATAGGCTCAAGATTTTCTGCACTGGGGATAGAAACCAATATTTATGATAAGGATCAGGATATGGAGCTAGAAGATATAAATGTGTACCCAAAAGATAAAGAAGGGAATATATTCTCCCCAATTAATTTCGGAGAAAATTCTCAACAAACTAAGTTTAAGGATAAATTTGTTCCCAAAGATAAGACAAGATTTTCCAAGTCTAGCCAACATAAGCTAAGAATAGGGGATTTTGTTTCAAAAACCCATCAAGTAGAAAAAGGAAATCATACCTTGGATGGCCCAATTATTCCACTCAAAGAAAAAGAAGTCAACATAACTGAACATGCTACTGTAAAAAATTGGAGCACGAGACAAGGCAAGGAAAATCTAGTTCTTTCTTTTGAGGCTAATCACCAAGCCAACTCACAAGCTATTCAAGGATCTGAGGAGCCAAACCAAGCCTACTTGACGCAAGACACCTCCATCAGTCATGTGTCCAATACGTTACCCGATCATTCTGAACATCCCCCCGGAGAAAAATCTGTTTGTGGGATACCCTATGGAACACCCCTACTTGTTGATCTCAACACCAATGGCGCACAAGTTGGAGTTGAACCTGGATTCTTACCTTCCACCAATCTCGAATCCGAAGGAACTGGTGGCTACAATGAAAATTCCAAGTGAATTTAAGAGATTGTTAAGTCTCATTAGCCAAGCTTATATGTCAAGCCTTCCCTCAACTCCACTGTCTATGGAAGAAAGTTTACCTATGTTAGCTCTGGCTTTACCACCAATTTCATGCATGGTGTGGAATGTGCAAGGTGCGGGGAGTTCGAACTTTATTAGTTCTTTGAAAGATTTAATTCATGCCAACAAACCGAATGTGTTGGTACTTGTAGAAACACATATGGGAGGAGACCAAGCAATAAAAATCATCAATTATGATGGCCATGAAAGAGTAGATGCTGTGGGCTTTAGTGGTGGAATATGGGTGTTCTGGAAATCTGAGGATGTTATAGTTAGTCCTTTACTTAAACATACTCAACACATCACCATGGAGATCACGAGAAGAGGAGACACTCCGTGGTATTTTTCGGCAGTATATGCTAGTCCTGACCCTATGAAGAGGAAAGAACTATGGAAGGATCTACAAGAATTTGCTAGGCTTAACAACAAACCATGGATGATAGCAGGGGATTTTAACGACACAAGATTTCCTTCGGAAAGAAATTCATCTTGTAGAGAGACAGATAGAAGATCAAGATTGTTTAATAATTGGATTGAGGATATGGATCTCATAGAGGTTGAGTTTTCGGGAGCGGCCCATACATGGGCGCGTGGACACTCATTGGAAACTAGACATAGTGCTAGACTTGGTCGAGCCCTGTACAATGAACAATGGGCAACCCGATTTGATAAAGCAGCCATGAAACACCTACCAGCCATCCATTCCGACCACTGTCCAATCCTAATATCACCTAATGGTTTTGCTCCGTTGCAGGCGCTTCACAGGCCGTTCCGCTTCCAAGCAACTTGGATGACACATGAGAACTTCAAAGATTTCATTGCCCAAAAATAGGATAACAATAGCCCCTTATTACCAGCTCTCCCAAAGCTTTCGAAAGATTTACAAGACTGGAACCGTGACACCTTTGGTAATATATTCAAGCAGAAAAGAGTCCTCATGGCACGAATTGGAGGCATTCAAAAACGACTCTCAATTCGTCAAGAAAGAGGACCAATCAAACTTGAGAATAAGCTTCGTCGAGATTTGGATGAAGTTTTATCAAGGGAAGAATCTTTATGGTACCAAAAGTCACATGTGGATTGGCTAAAGGATGGAGACAAGAATACGACCTTTTTCTATCTTAGTACTATCATACGAAGGTGGAAGAACCGTATAGTAGCCATAAAGGGGAACAATGGGGATTGGATACAAGACAAAGAGCTAATTAAAGAGCATATAGTGAACTATTTTTCACAGCTTTTTACTAAAGAAGGGGAACCTATTCGATTTGATGTGCCTCAGGACGTCTTTCCGGAGCTCCCATTGGATCAATGGAGATTTCTCACTCGACAATACACTCGAGCTGAAATTGACATGGTCATCAAAGAGATGGCCCCACTCAAAGCTCCGGGACCGGATGGATTTCAGGCGCTCTTCTATCAAAAGAATTGGGACTTGGTAGCAGAATCAGTGTACAATACCATCATTCCTATCCTGGAAGGGAAGGGCATGCCTGAGAACTTTAATGCCACGTTCATTGCTCTAATCCCGAAAATTGAAAAATCAGAACTTGCTTCCCAATTTCGACCTATAGGGCTATGTAACGTTGCTTACAAGATTGCCACGAAGGTCATAGTTAATCGAATCAAGCCAATCCTGCCTACTTTAATCTCGAACACTCAATCAAGTTTTGTCCCGGGTAGACAAATCACAGATAATATAGTGATTATGCAAGAAGTTTTGCACACTATGAGACGAAAGCAAGGAAAAAAAGGATATATGGCGATCAAGATCGATTTTGAAAAGGCCTATGATAGGCTCCGATGGTCATTTATAAGAGATACTCTTGTGCAAATGAACCTCCCTTTAACTATGATAGAGGTAGTAATGGAATGCATCACCACATCAACTCTTCAGGTACTTTGGAATGGAGAGCCCTCGAGTAGTTTCAAACCAAGCAGGGGAGTTCACCAAGGAGACCCATTATCTCCGTATATATTCGTGATGTGTATGGAGCGCCTATACCAAACTATAGAGGCAGCCATCGTCAATGGCTACTGGAAACCGATACGGGCAAGCAGGGATGGCCCTTTACTCCCAAACCTGTTTTTTTGCGGATGATACTGTTCTATTTGAAGAAGCATCTGTGGATCAAGCAATGTTAATTCAAGCATGCCTGGAAAGATTTTGCCAAGCATCTGGACAGAAGATCAGCTTGCCGAAGTCACGAGTCTTCTTTTCAAACAATGTCGATCATGAGCTACAGCAGGACATTGCTACTACTCTGGGTATGGAAGCTACGAAAGACCTTGGATTATATTTAGGCATGCCTACTCTTACAAGTAGGGTGACTAAGGATACTTACAACCACCTATGTGAAAAGATAGACAGACGGGTAGCTGGGTGGAAATCCAAATACTTATCGTTGGCTGGGCGTATCACTTTGGCGAAGTCAACCTTATCTACGATGTCGTTCTATTCAATGCAAACTGCCAAGATTCCTCGTACAATCAGTGACAATATAGACAAAAAAGTACGGAGATTCATTTGGGGTGGTAATGAAGAAAAGCGAAAAATTCATATTCTAGCATGGGATACACTCCAAAAGCCGAAGGAACAAGGAGGCATTGGTATCTACTCTGCTACCCAGGCAAACGCAGCATTCCTTACAAAATTGGGTTGGAGAGTTCTGACTGAACCAAATTCGTTATGGTCAAGAGTTCTGCGTGCCAAGTACTGTAAAGGGAGATGCGACATTGACATGTTTGTGCCAAAGAAAGATATGTCGAATGTTTGGGGTGGAATTACGGCCAACGCTAAATTACTAGGAGAGGGTATGCAAGTAGCTGTTGGAAATGGGCACAATACCCTCTTCTGGAAGCATAGATGGGTAGGAGACAATCCTCTAAGTAATTTGGTCACAAATCCCATCCCTCCGGAATTAATGGAAGTGACAGTAGCTGAAATGTGGGAAGAGAATGACGGCTGGAGATGGAACGTGTTTGCACCTTTTTTATCACAAGATACACTCAAGTCAATATAGAATCATGAGCTTAGAGTTGACCCTAATGTAGGCGATCTGGTGTACTGGAAAGGCGAAGCAAAAGGTAGATTTTCAATTAAGTCTGCACTTAGAATCATGAGACAAGAGACTGACTCCTTGGATGAGAAATGTTGGGATTTAATCTGGAAGGCGCCTGTGCAACAACGAGCTCGAGCGTTTATATGGCTTGCTTGTCATAATCGTGTACTTTGCAACCATAATCTGTTCAAACGCAACCTCACTAACTCCCCAGTTTGTTACATATGTGGTAACTATGAAGAATCTACCCTTCACACGCTTCGTGACTGTCCTGCTGCTAAAATGGTATGGCGCAAATTAATCCAACCTAGGTACTTTGACCAATTCTTCCGAGGCTCCATTAAGGATTGGCTGGAAGAAAACTTGGCTGGGGCAGAGAACCATATGGCAGAAGATTGGCCTACTATTTTCGGAACTGCTGTTTGGTGGATATGGAGGTGGCGAAATTGTCAAGTTTACAACAGAAAGGATGAAATACCAGTGGATCTTGGTGCATTTCTTAGAATCAGGGTGGAGGAGACCAAATGCAGCCTCAATCAAGGTGGGCTGATCTCAAATCATTCACCAAGACAATAAGCCACTGCAAATATTTCTTGGCTCCCCCCTGCTTTGGACGAATATGTCCTTAATTGTGATGGAGCAGCCAAGGGTTGCCCTGGGCCAGCAGGAGGGGGTGGTGTAATTCGCAACCATGAGGGCCGCTTTATCTCTGGCTTTACAGCAAACTTTGGCAGGTGTACATCAACACGATCTAGCTCTTGTCAAGGGGTTAAAACTTGCACAAAATTTGCAAATAAAGAAATTGGAGGTGCAATTAGATAATTTGACTTGTGTTCAAATTCTGCAAAAGGGAGAAGCTAGTGGAGGGGAGAATATACAGGAGATCAAAGAGTGTTTGAATATGCTTCAAAATGACAATTGGACTGTGAAAGTGGCTCATATCTTTAGAGAAGGAAATAGAGTGGCGGATTGGTTGGCCAACTGTGGAGTTTTGCAAGACTCTAGCTTTAGTATTGTTAATTTCATTCCTTTAGAACTAGGGAGAATCTTGGATGAGGACGCAAGAGGAGTAGCTAGGCCTCGTCTAGTTACGCGTTAAACTTGCACTCTCAAATGAGATTCTGTTTTCCTTTTTGCGTTATTTTTCTTTTTTAGCTCTTAGTTTGTTTTCTTTTTGGAGCTTAGCCTCTCCTCTCTCGGATCAAAAAAAAAAAAAAATCACTTTTTTTTATAAATTCCCACAATACCGTCCACGTCACCGGTTCAAGTTATTTTTTAATTTTTACGGTTTTATGTGAAAACCGCTACTTAAATTAGCGGTTTTAGGGCTTTGAGTATTAAAAAAAAAAATAAAAAAAAAAACGTTAACTTTATTCTCTCACCTTCTCACTTTTGGCTTCCAGTAAAAGCAAAAAAAATTCCTCAACAACGACATTCATTCTCAGACTTCTCACACTCAAACATGGAGAAAAATTATTCAACCCACCCGCTTCCGCCATCGGAGCGGCGCTTGACGCTAGAGATGGTTGATGTTTAAATTAGGGATAATGGAGGGTTAGTATAGTTTATGCCTAATTTCGTTTTTATTTTTTCAATTCAATTGTTAATTTAGGCCTAATTTCGTTTCTTTTTTTTCAATTCACTTGTTAATTTATTCAATTTATTCAATTTTTGTAATTGTGTAATCCAGATCTAAACATACTAAGTTTTAATTATTATTTTTTTGCAAGTTTTGTTTTTGTTTGATTTGGAGTATTATCAATCATAATTGGCGCTGTTTTGTTTTCTTCTAAGTATTACTATCAATCTTGGAGTATTATAATTATGTAAACTTTGTTTTTGTATTTTGATTATTTGTTTGTTGAAAGATTTATGTTGCTAGCTTTATATTTTTTTAAAAAAAATTATAGTAGAAAACCGCTACTTGAAGCAACGGTTTTCTGCTAGCTTTATATTTTTTTTAAAAAAAATTATAGCAGAAAACCGCTACTTGAAGTAGCGGTTTTCACTTCTAAAAACTGCTACTTGAAGTAGCGGTCTTTAGTTTTGAAAATCGCCACTTTAAGTAGCGATTTCTCCCTGAACCGGTATTTAAAAAAAAATCGGGTTTTTCTAACTTGATTACATGTACGGTATTTAAGGAATAAAAGAAAAAGAAGTTGTACTTAAAGAATTGGAGTTTTTCCCAACATTATTTTGGAAAAGAGCTCACCTTAATATCTTTAATTACTTTTCTTCCTTTCAATTATTTCATTATTATTTTCGATTGTTCTAATCTTCTTTTTTCTTTATTGTTATTTCTGCCATTTTTTTTTAACATCAATTATTAAGTGACAAGTAATTTTTGAACAATTATAACTTAGACGGTCTTTGGGCAAACTTAGGTGGTTAAAACAGTGTGAACTTCATTGATTATGCTATTTTGTGGTCTGTTTATTCATGTTGAAAACATATGGACCAAGTTCATGGCTTAAATGGTTAATTACTAAACAGGTCAAGTTTTTTTACACGAACACGACTCGTTTAACCAAACGGGTTACACGTGTTAATTTCGTGTTAACCGTTTATTAAACGGGTCATGTTTGTGTTTAGCCTTCTTGACCTGTTTATTAAACGGTTCGTGTCAGTGTTAGGGGGTCTCCAATTTGTTTATATATGACCCGAATATGAACACGACACGACCCATTTGCCAGGTCTAATTATCGATGGATACTGGAAAAGCACTAACGTTCGGAATTTTACACTATTTTACCGTCTTTTGTGATTTATA